TACGCGTTTCTATCCAAAAATGGTGTAAAGTGTAACATAATCTGGTTCAAAATCATAGAATCTCTAGAAGATAACTCCATATCTCGTCAACCCTGATTCTCTTTTTGCTTTAAATATTTGGAACATAGTGTTCCCTTCCTCAATTTGATGAAATGGAGACAAATATGTACCAAGGCAGCTTGATGTGGTGCGGCAATTTCATTAAAACAAAAGTATCAAAATCTGAAAATTTTAATGCCTTCTCGATCTCACCCATACAAGCACAACAAACACTCTGGGAAAGCATATATCTACTGGGCATTTCGTCAAACAATTTCCTAGCAGTCCCAGCCTCTCCTCATTTGTGGTAATGAATTGGTTTTCCAAGATGATGGGCTAAACGCATCACACCCTTCCAGAAGGTTAGTAGTAAAAGTAGCAGCCGTCTTACCGGTATTTTTACCCTCTAACATTAGTTTTGGGATAATGGAAGCAATGACCTCATTCCGTGCGGGTTCCGTAGGTTCAACAGCCAAAATCTCAGTAGCAGCAGAGCGCTTGAACTCTAATGTGCTGTACATATAGTTGATTCGTAGAGATCTTTCATCGAATACCTTGTCCTCATATGATTCTATATCAACTAAATCAGATTCCATCACAGAGGTAAAAGATAGTTGCATCTCATTGTGCATCAGTGAACGGCTTGGAGCAGGCGAACACCACATTATCAAGTTGAGAAGCACAGGACAAACGTTGCCAAATTGGAGGAGCAGGCGATAGATATTCTCTTGCATCGCCATCATTAATTCAAAGATGGTCTTGAGTTGAGTGTTTATCATGGTAGAAAAGTACAGAGTCATGGAGTATGAGCAATGAAAGTACCAATATGTTGAACTCTAATCACTCTAAACACATTGTAAAGGAGCAACTAAGTTATATTGAAGCTGCAGGATCACTTCATCAAATATATATGTGTGTGTGTTAATATATATATATATATATATATATATATATATAGAAGCTACAGGATCAAATACACGGAACAACAGTAAGGAAGTTGCAATAAAAACAGAAACAAGGAAATAAGAGGGTTGAGTGAGAGAGATACAGAGGAAGGAGGAGAAGCCAGAGAAGAAGGGAGACGAGGGAATTACAAGACCACTCAATACAATTGCCTCACATGCTCCTAAATATAGGTCCCACTCAAAATTTGCTAACGTTCACAATGTGTCCCCCACCGTGGCCTCTTGGCCATTTTCATTCATAACACAGTTATTAACTGATACAAGGATTTCTATAGCCATCAGGTTATTCTCTTCCCTCCTTTAAACATAATATAGCAAGCTCTGTCGGGTAAATTTCCAAGTTGGTTGCAAGAAGTGCTCATTGTCATTATAGCTATTTCTTTATGAAGTAAATAAACTTTTATATTAATATTGGCATCCAGAAGATGCATCATCAGAGAAGTGTTAATGACTCCTATGCAAAGCTCAGGAGCCAATGAAGCACAAAACAGATGTTATTAATGTACTTTTAAGATAGTGAAGTGAATTACAACATGCAGAACACAATCCACCAGGGTGAAGAATTAACTAATCATTAGATTACCTTTAAGCAGTTTACATCTTGTCTAAATTATTCAAAAAGATACATCCACTATATAAAGTTTCACGAAGGTACCCTAAAACTTGTAGGGTTCCGCATTCCTCGCCCATCCTCCCAAACAAAAAGGAAACAGAAGTACAAGACCGTTGCGAGTGTCATGTACCATTGCCAGTTGAGAGCATTTTTGGCGCAACAGGGATCTAATTAACCCCCTCAGATGCAGACATATTAAACTGACATCTTTATATCTTCAAATTACAGATGAACATGAGCTTCATCAAGAATTGGATTTGGTAGAATTAGATTTAGTTTGTTAAATTCAGAACTCAAAACAAGATTCTAAAGTTTCTTCACTTTTTCACAACAAGATTGAAGGACACATGGGGTGTTATATTCACAAACCAATTGACACCGAACATTAGCAAACTTAAATATACTAAAACTCCAAAGAAGACTACAAAAGTAAGAGAATGATTTATACATAGTGAAGGAACAAAACTAATAAAAAAAGAGGAAGGAATTATACGGACTTGGCGAGCAATTCTTCGAGGAGAGACTGTTCGTCGGGAGTCCAATCAACGGCAAGACCTGGATTGTGTCGTAGAGCCGCCTGTGTGGGGCCAACCACAGAATTTTCCGGAACGGAGAGACCATTACTGGTGGCGCCATTCGCATTGCTAGTGCCTTCTTGACCACCACTATTATTACCCGCCGAGGGGTTCGCGCTCGCAGCCATCAATATTCTACACCGCAAATCCAATAAACCCTCTGCCTTCAAAATTCGAAACAATTGCAAAATTCGAAGTGAATATAGCTAAATCTGCAGGGAGTTTGAAATCGGGGAGCTGGAAGAAACGAGAGAGAGAGAGAGAGAGAGAGAGAGAGAGAGAGAGAAAAATGGAGGAGAAAATCTGTACGGAACAGTGTTAAGAGGATTTGGGTACTAATGGAGTTTGGATGATATGGGGAATCTTTTGTGATTAGATAGTTATTTATTGTCTGATGAGAAAAATAGTAAAGGATAGTTATTTAGTCTAAATTATATTTTACGCTTTTAATCCGGGTTTGCTCACGACGGCTACGATATTTTAGTAAGTATGTTCCTTCTGGGACTTTTGCACATGTGGTCCTTTGTTTATTAGTAAATAATGATAGTAGTCCTTCCAATTTTCAAGAAATCCTATTTGAAATTAATTCTAATGTGTACTTTTGGTCTATGCTGCAAATGAAGCTTCCTCAAAGTTTTTGGAGTTATACTTTAGTCCTGAAAATAATAATAATCTTACTCTGACACCTCTAGTTAGCTTTTTGTACATTATCTGTTTTCCATTTTTTCATGTAATGCACTTTCGAGAAGGATATATTGAATGAAAATTGAGCCTTTCCTTTCTTTGCGTTTTCTCTTTATTTAGTTCTTGTTTTCTATTTTCACGGTGATTTCAGCGTCAACACAAATCCTTACTAGTTATCCAACTGCATATTCAATCACTAGTTATTATTACTCTGTATATTAGTAGATATTACTCTAAAGAAATGATCTTCCGACACTTTTGAATCGAAAATTAAATTTTAAAGTTAAAATCTTTTTAAAGTGAAACTTTGTTTTGATATTTTTTCTTACTAAGTTTACTTTTCAGTTTTTAAATTTTATTTATTTATTTCTTAATCGTTAATATAATGCATATAAGTTTAATTAATACTTTATAGACTTCATATTTGGTTCAAAAGAGGGAGTATCTATTTTAATATTAATCAATGATGAAAAGAATAACAAATTTATACTTATATAGTGTAATTATAAAATCTATTTCACCTCCCCTTCAACCACTAATATGATTCTGGAGAAGAAAAAAAAGGCACAAGAAGTGTCTCAATATATGACATCTTTTAACATTTTTTTAATAAATTTGTATATTAATTAGAATTGTGTGTTACAGATGAAACAAGTAACAAGTTTTAAAGTATTAATTAAAGAAGTAAACTTGATGAAAACAACCACACTGTAATTTGATTTTTATTAGTTAAGCGAACTACAATTCTAAAAATTTATGAAAGTATTTTAAAGGATGTCGTTGGGGACAATATGCTGAAAATTTGCGATACGAGTCCAACTGAAGTAGAAAGAAGTTTCGTTCCTTAACAAAAAGATGTTATACAAATCTAAATTAATGTACAACATGATGGCTTAAATACGTGGGATATATGGTAATTCCTATAAGTGATATATGAAATTAATGTGTTTAAATACCTCGTGTAATTAATGTATCAAATCATGTATTGTTAGGCATAGATAAATGAATATATTAAACTAATTAAGTACCAATTAGTTCCTTATGCCACATAGACATTAGATATTGCTGATGCATCAATTAGGTATTTTCCTTTCCTACTTTTTTATAAATAGTTCATGAATTTGTACGTTGCATGTGTGTTGCACCTGTATCTCATGACTTTTGAGGATTTTCAAGTAAGTTTTTTCATGTTTTTGTAAATCATAGAACTGGAAGAAGTGAGAGAGAGGGGAGAAGAGAAAGTTTATACAAAATTATTTCAAAGGAATTTGGGTACTATTGACTTGGATAAAAAGGTAATCTTTTGTGATTAGATAGTTATTTATTGTCGGATGAATAAGAAAGAATATAGTTATGTAATCCAAATTATAATTTAAGCTTTTTACTCTTCATTTGCTAACGAGGCCTGCCTTTTGCATATATGGTCCTTTATTTATTAGTAAAAATATTGATAGTAATTCTCACAATTCGCAAAAACATTATTCAAAATTAATTCAAATGTGTTCTTTTGATCTACTCAATCACAAATCTTTACAAACATGATTAGTTATCATCGTCAGTAAAAATTTATACGCATCAAGTAATTACACTTAATATAGTTAATATATATGGGATAAACTAAGGTCGATTATGAGTCTTATTTTAATTAAATGAAAAAAATCAAAAAAGGAAGTAAGTCATACTAATGTAATACTAGAAAGACTTCGGATTACTTTCAGTTGCTCCTTTTTTTTTTTTTTTTTTAATTTCTGATCTTCATCTAGTGCCTGACATTGTTGGTCCTGAAGATCCAGTTATTGTTGTCTTGCCAGAATTTCGTGGTATCAATTGAAGTTTAGAATTTTAGAGAAATGTCGCAAATAAGTCCCAACTTATCGACCTTTAGCCATTAATCATAGACTTATCAAAATTAGTCATGCACATATAAAAATTGAAAACCCAAATAAATAAGGTTATTTCTCTCCAAGAATCACACGCAAAGATCTCCTTCCATATTTTTAAGCGTCATCGGCAACATTANTTGAAATTCATTGAAAACATATAAATGAGTCAATATACAAAATTTGAGGAATATAGGAGGTTATTTGGAATGATTTGGTATCAAAATTCTTAGTTAAAATCGAGTTCAAAAAATTCTTTTACGACACAAGTATCAAACATGTATCACACATGTATCTCACATACAAGTATACATGGATATACATGTGATATACATTTGATACAAATATGATACATATGTGATACACAAATGATACACAGTTTGATACACATATTATTTTTTTATGGTCATCTTCTACTTCGAATTTTCAATTCAAATCACCTTAAAACTCCACCAAATCATCCAAAACTGAGATTCAAGCTTCGATGTACCCAATCTATTCTAATAACACCCACTTAAAAGAAAGCAAAAAATTGACTTTGTTTGGCAACAAATAACTAATTGGCTAATATTAGTAATATTTTATGAATTGGCTAATTTTTGTAATAAGCTACTGTCACGACCCCAATTTTCCTCCGTAGGATATCGTTATTACACCTATTCTCTAAGACTAGATAAGCCTAACATACATGCAGAATATAACTGAAATAACGATAAAACTCTCAAATACTCAGCAACTATTATAAAGAAAACTTCGCAACTCAACATAAACAGCTTCCCAAAATCTGGTGATAACAAGTCACAAGCTATACGAGTAAGTACTAGTCATCCCTATACAACAGTGTCAAAAAAGGGAAAGAAAAATGAATTAGACTAGATCGAGGGGGACTCCGAGGCCTGCGTACGCCGGCAGGTATACCTTGAAGTCTGGATTAGTAAGAGATACATGGATCTGTACAAAACGATGTGCAGAAGCGTAGCATGAGTACACTACAACGGTACCCAATAAGTGTCAAGCCTAACCTCGGTAGAGTAGTGGCGAGGTCAGGTCAAGGCCCTACTGGAATAAATAAGAAACTGAACAGGTATATAACAGTATAATAATGATAACAATGAAAATAAAATAATAAAGAAATATACCAAGATTGGTTACACCGAACTAAGGCAAATAATGCATCACGGAAGAAAACAAGGAATGATATGCCAAGGAAATAAGCAACCAAAACACAAGTGAAGTAATAGAAAAGTATCAACAAGAATCACTACCAAGGTACCGCATCGTAGTCTCAAATCACAATATAATTCATAATCTTTTCTTATATCACCGCGGGGGCCTTGCATTTAGTTTTGAAAATCATTTTTCCCGAAATAGCTTCCCGCGTTTTAGTCTACCTTATCACACTGCGTGGCTTCAAGTAGTTTCCCTACTAGCAACACGCGTATCAAGCCCACCTTATCTCACCGCATGCGTTATAACCCCAAACCTTATATCACCGCATGCGTATCAATATTACAACGTATCACAAATCGCACTTCAAGTGCCCAATAACACAACTTGCCAAAGAAGTCAACAATAATGGTGTTTCCACAATAAGTAGATATGGCTCAACCATAATATGCACAAGAGTCTCACAATAACAACTGAAAGTGAATAACTCAACAAGAATGGCATTTCACAACCTTACAACTTTTTCTCAATGTGAATCACGGCCTTTATAACTCAATACTAATTTCAACAACAGGATATTCCAAGAATAACAACTTCAAGTAAGGAACTCAACGATTAAACAATGAATAAGGAATAGAGGAAACAATAACTTCAACTAAATACGTAAAGGCAATTAACAAGTAAGAGATAAGACAAGAAAAGCATGTGAAGATAGACTAAAGATGGTGAATACAGCATATTATGGTAACTCAATTAAAGGCATGAAAAGGATCTACATAGCTAGAACCGGTCAATTACCATATTTAGCCCGTGTACACATTCGTCACCTTGCGTACCCAGCTTTTACACATCACAATTAACACAAAAGAACACTAATTCTAAGGGGTAATTCCCCCACACAAAGTTAGGCAAGACACTTACCTCAAAACACGCTAACTCAATCCACTAGTAAGCCTTTCCCTCGATTATTCAACTCTGAACGTCTCAAATCTAGCCAAAATAACTTCATGCCATAAATATAAACTATAGGAAGCTATTCCGAACAATAAAGTTGAAATCTTTAAAGAAAAATAAAAAGTCAACTCAAAAAGTCAACCCTGGGCTTGTGTCTTGGAACCCCGACCAAAATTACAAAATCCGAACACCCATTCGATAACGAATCCAACCATACAAGAATTACTCAAATCCGACCTCAATTCTCCTTTCAAATCCCCAAAATTTAGTCTAAGAAGTTTTTACAATTTCCCCCCAAATTTCTAACTCAAATCACTAATTAAATGATAAAAATAACAATTGACTCATGTAATATAGCCAAAACCGAGTTAGAATCACTTACCCCAATGATTTTCTTGAAGAAACCTCAAAAAATCACCACAAACCGAGCTATCTAGGTCCAAAAATGAAAAATTAGAATAAACCCTCGAAGCCATCTATTTCTGCCTAGAAAATTCGCGCATGCGGGCATAGGGTCGCATCTGCGACGCCGCACCTGCAAAAAATCCATCACAGGTGCGGTTCCAGCTTAAGCCATGACTTTTCGCTTCTTGCAGACCCAAGTAGCGCACCTGCGCTCATGCACCTGCGGAGGGGCCTCCGCTTCTGCGACCCCAAGCCTGGCCAGCCTTTTCGCTTATGCGCTTCCTCACTCACACCAACGATTTTGCTTCTACGGAACA